TTTATGTAGCGAAAAAACGATGGCTCTGTTTTACGCTCTGGTACTATATCAACGAAAAATTTTTTTATTATGCGTATCATTGGTTTTTGACGTTTCTTATTTTGTTCATTATTCTGATCCATTATTGCAAAAAATAAAAATTAAGTGCAGTTTTTTAAGTGAATGTTTCAACTGAAGTATTCTTTTCTTGGAGCGTAAAACAAAGTTTTATAGCGTTCGTCTTATATCACGTTCTACTTGAAAAGCCACCAAATCTAGTTAGAGCATTCTCGAAAAAGCGAAAAGGATTATCGTTATTGATTCGTCAGCCTATTTATTACATGTGGGGAACAAATATTAAATCTTATTATGATTGCGGGTAATGAATTGTGATCCGCGAACAAGGACAAACGTGCTACCAACATGCATCTAGGAAACAAATTACATGTACATGTAATTAGTGATGTGTTGGTTCGGTTTGGTTAAACCGAATCGAACCTAACCAAACCGATCAAACTGGTTCATGCATAATCGGTTTATGTGTAACTAATTTAAAATAATCACCCTATAAGAAAAAATTGGTATGGAATAACCTGTAAATAACGTGTAAACACCTGAATTTCCCAAATAATCACGCAAAAATTTTACGGGCCTGAAAGCACGTAAAACACCCGCAAAACGCGACACTTTACGTTGGTGATAGCACGTAAATTTTACGGGATTACGTGGAAAATACAGGTTATATCCCGTGTGTTTTCCGTGTAATTACATGAGATTAAGCATGTAAATGACGTGTGAACTGTGACAATTTACGCTGGAATTACGTGCAATTTCGCACCATATCACGTGTGTTTCCATATTTTTCTCATCCCATTTCAGATATTTTACGGACATTTCTAGTATCAATAATATGATATTTACGTGAGTTTACGTTATTTTTACATGAGGTTTACATATTTTTTTCTAGACTTTTTTACATGATTAGACAAACGACATCATCATTATATTGACTGATCTGGTTCTATTTCATCTTGTTGCGTGTTCTCCTGCTGGGTGGGTCAGAAAATGCAGGTTCTTTCCCTTTTCGTTTTTTGCTCATTTGTTTTAAGATTTCAATTTCCGATTCATCGCTTGGTACTGTCGTCGTTGATAGATATTAATAAGATGATAAAAAAAATTGAATTGTAATACTCACCTGCAGATTCTTTCTCTTTTCGTTTTTTGCTCGTTTGTTTCAAGATTTCAATTTTCGATTCATTGATTGGTACTGTCATCATTGATTAAAAAAGATATCAGTGAGATGAGATAATAAAAAATTGAATTGCAATATCCACCTGCAGGATCTTCCCCTTTTTGTAGTTTGCTCGTTTGTTTCAAGATTTCAATTTCTGATTCATCGCTTAATACTGTCATCGTGGAGGCTGTATCGTCATGTAATAATGCAAAAATATCACAAATAATGAGATCTCAAATAAAGAAAATGTGGGTTAAGTGGCATATAGTTTGAGGAAAAAATTTACCATCCGTTTAGCCTTGAGCTTATTTTTTCACTTATAATATGAGCCTGTATGTAAATTGGACAATACCTAATAGTAAGAATCTAAAATAGTACTGTAAATAGTGTGGTGTGACACTTACTTTGATCCTGAAGTTTTTGTTTTAAAGCTTCACAAAAAACCCATTCTTAGAAACCAAAATTTTCTTCATACCAACTCTTTGCCTAGCAAGAAAAAGAGTTATTTTTCTCTGAAAAAGAAAAAATAAAGTTTATACTAACTGCTTCAACACAGTTTTCAGCAAGAACTGTTTAAAGAGTTCTATAGGTTGTGTTTGGAGGAATTTTGCTTTTTCTTATGAGATCATCAAAATAAGCTTTTACACAACAAACTTGCCCTTCTTTTTTGTTGAGACTAAATATGGTATTGATAGATATTTTTGACTTTCCAAGTGGCTTCTCAATTGATTGGATATGTGTTGGATTGACTTTTTGCATAAGCTCCATACATTTTTCTTGCTGTTCACAAAGTTTTCCTCACAATTTTTTTAACTCTTCTGTTAAAGAGTCATTATCAGTTTGCAAAGTGAACATTGAAGAGCCTTTCATAATGAAAATACTAGATTTGATATTGTTTATATAGAAAATAATTTTTTTACAAATATATGATATGCACAGGATTATAAACAAGAAAATCACCATGGTAAGTATGATATATATGTGATTATAAATAAGAAAATCACCATGAGTAGCTGGAAGTTGTCATGGTAACTAAATTAAAGTTTGTTCACACTTGTTTTTTGCCTACTTCTAGTATTGGGAAAATTCATAAGTTAAAAAACAATCATGGCTCATGTGCATGCAATTTATAGTATTCACTCAAATTGTTGGTGCTACTAAAGAGAGAGTTACCAATAGCAACAAATATTTGATAATTAATTAATTTGTATAAAGAAACAGTATATCTTTTAATAAGAAAGCTTGCTAATAATAAAAGTAAAAGCAAATATAAAGCTTAATTGTATTTGTAATAACAAAAATTATTGAATATAAAAGCTAAATCAAATTACTAATTATTATCAAAATTTATTTTATTTTTAATCAACAAGAAATTCTTCAGGCTTTTCAAGTATATAGTTCAATGCTTTTACTTTGAAAAATGCCACATATTTCTTTATTGTTGAAATATAATTAAATTTCTTTGCACTAAACTTTTTAAAGATTTGTAATTCATAAAGTTCTTGATGAATATTGTATACATTATGCACATAAGCTAACATATACTTTTTATTTGCATACTTATAAACCAAATAATAAAGTACTCATCTGTAAAATGACTTCATTTTATATATTTCATTACAGTTAGCAATCTCTAATTCATACTAAAATACTTTAAGTATAAAAATTAATCTTGTAATAAAAAAAAGCACAAAATGTAAAATACCTTTATATATAAATTATTATGTGATTTGATACTTATAATCATTAATGAAAAGCTAATTATATAATCATTTTTTGTATGCAAATGAGAAAAATACTGATCAATATTACTAAGCTAAAAAAAATATAATAAATATAGAGGTATTAAATTTATTAATTAATAATATTATCTCTTTAACAAGAAAATTATTCATAATCTAATAATATTAATTAATAATGTTATCTCTTTAACAAATAAAAAAGTCATTCATAGTCTAATAATATTTTTTTAGATGCAATAGCTCACGATTAGTATTTTCTTCATCATCATATAATTTATAGATTAAACTAGAAAATCACAATTATTTAGAGTTTTTTTCCAAATTAAAGATTTGATTTTCTTTGTACACTCAGTTTTCTTTTAGTGAAAAAAGTCTTTTGTGAATCTTAGGTAAAAAGTGAATCTATCTATTATTAAGATATTGTTAACCAGGTTGGTATAGAGATACAAATGGGATTGTACTAAAGACTAAAGGATTCCATATAGATATTCCATTAGATATTACCAAAAAGTCCAGCAAGAATCACAATCATTTATTGAGGTCTCAACATATAAAAAATAGTGAAAAATTATTTTATAAGCAGATAAATATTTATTATTACGTTTTCCATATATTCTAAATATTGATAAATAAATGAAATTATCAATAAAAATAATTACTTAATATAATAAAATTATATTACTTTTTATAATTACTTAAAAAAAGTTGATATATATTTCCAGCATTTTTTAACTCTTTTCGGATAATATAATATTTTACACAAATTTGGAAACTTGATACATAATCAGCTCAATCTCACAATATTCTATATACTTATAAATAAAAAATTAATAAAATTAATATAATTCAAATTATATATTGAAAATTACTTTTTATTTGATTGATAATTTACTAATAATAGCAAAGAATAAAGTTTGATCCAATTGGTTCACTCTTCTGTTTTAAACTCATTTGAATAGTGAGCAATATTAATTGAAGCTTGTCCAAATCTTGTTGGAATAGCTTTTTTATTAGATTCCATGATTTTACCTATTTTTTTCCAAATTCTTTTGCTCAATATATATGAATTATCATCAGGTTGATTTAAATTAGAATTTGAAAAAAAGATACCATTCCAATATTTAAACATTCATATACTTACTCCTTCAAATAGAAGATATATAATATCTAGTAAAAATGATCTTGGAAACTTGCATGCTTTTAATTCAAAAAGAATATTTTTTCTATTTATATCTGTAAATTAAATTATAAATTAAAGAATATTTAAAATTATTAAATACTTAATATAATATAAAAAATTTATTAGTATTTATTGATAAATTCTTATGAATAATTTTTGAATTAATCTTAATATATTCTTCTGCTCTTTTATAATATATATCATATATTCATAATGACAAAGCTAAAGAATCATAGATCAGCAACTTGCTATATAATGGTGACTTCAGTGAATAATATACATGATTTTTTTCATGTTTTTTGCTTGTTATATCATACAAATCACAAAATTGATATCCTATATAAGAATTGTGACCTGTTATAAATAATAATTTTGTAATTGCAGGAATATTTCCATATTAAAAAATTACATGAGCCTGGAGTATAAATTCTTTATTTTTTTTGCTGTATTATAGCAAGTAATTCCTTTTATTAATAATCTGTTAGTTAAAAATTATTATAATAAAATAAAATTATACTTATTTTCAAGAATAAGTAATTCATTAACCAAAGATTATAAAAATCTATTGAGATTTTTAGATGCTTGTGAATTAGAAATAACAGTAGTTACCATTAAATTTTCTTTTTTCATTCGAACTTCTAGTAGCAAGTTGTAATTTATTAATAATATTATCCAACAATCATCATATTGTTGTTTGAAAATTTGGTAGCCATCAAGAGATGCAGAAAAAATAATATTACAAGAATCAACCAATAGTTTTTCTTGAAGTATTTCTTTATATAAGTTTCTATTATAAATATCTTGCAATTTGAAAAAATCTTCTACATAATTAGTTTGATACAAAAGCTAAATAATACATACTGGATCAGCAAACTGTAATTGTAATCGCTCAATAATAGAAAAATATATTGCATATTTTTGAGTCTTTCTTTCAGTACTATAACATAATGTATTACTATATATTTGCTAAATACTCTCCAATAAATGCGAAACAAGAATTAATGCATATATTAATGTGATTATTACCAATATTTACTAATTGTCATAGTTTCTTCTTTGCAAGATAAAGTATTTGCAATGTACAATTAAAAATATTCAAAATGACTTCAAAATTATTATTAGCTATTGTTCTTTTTACACTCTTTAGATAAAGAAGACGTAAAACTTATATCATTTCCTCAGTTAAAATATTAGAACCTAAAATTATTATAAGTTCATACAAAGAAACAGTAAAAATTATTTATACTTTCCTTTTTTATTATTTGTGAAAAGCTTTTTCTGTTTGTCATTTGTGAGAAGCTCTTCTTGTTCATCATCTGTGAGAAATTCTTCCCATTCATTATCTGTAAGAACTCTTCCTCATTTTGATTAGATAATTTATTAAAAAATATAGGTAATTTTCAAAATTATGTATCTTCATTATCTTCAATAGATAATATAAAACTATTTTTACTATGGTAAATTTATAATTATAATTCTTAAATACTTAAATATTTAATACATACTCAATTTTTGCACAATCAACTTCGTTTTTGATATGTAATTCATTGTCATCCTTGAATTCTGCAGAATCAACTTCAATATATAATTCATAATTATTAGTATCAGTTATATCTTGAATATTCATTACTGAATTTGTGTTTTCTATATTTGATTTGTTGCAAATAATTGTACTTTCAATATAAGATTTATTGTTTCAAACTTCTTTAGGTTTTTATCTTCATTTGTTAGCATCATAATCATATCATTATTAAATCCATGAGACTGGGCTGTAGCTCATGATCTTTTTTTGGAAAATCTTTTATGAAGTAATTATCATCGAGCTCAACTGCTTCAAATCTTTATTCATGTTGATGCTTTATATATTTTGTTATCTTGATTTCTTTTGGATCTTTAAATAAACACCAGTCAATTTATATAATACTTTTTCTGACATTAGAAATAAATTTGTAATTGAGATATGAATTTCTGTTTCATCATTCACAACACCAGCTCTGTTTTCCTCAATTTTTTATTAAGCAATTCTTCTAGCTTAGCTAATAGTTGCTCAAGTGTTAAGAATCAACACCTGGTTAAATTATACTTTTAATTGCATTTTTATCATGTGTTCCATGTGTGGTAGCATTCTCTTATGTGTAATTTGATTGGAAGAACGTGTTCAGTAATTTGTGATTATAATGCATGTCTATTAGTGAAAAAAATTTTTTCTTGTACTTAAATTTATAAAATGTTTATACTCTCCAATTACAATTATTTAATAAAGGTAAAAAAAAAGGTCTGGTATAATGCGATCATTCAAATATGATTTCTGGTCATGGCAATTAAGCTATGTCATCAGGCTCATGTCTTGTGGTCCAAATTATAAAGGTTGAATAAGTAATTACCATCTGACTTCTTTTTGATTTATGCTGTGATTATAATTCTACCTGAGATATTCAGTGTCACAGCATCTTGTGATTCTTGTATTATTCATTATCATGTCAATGTCCAGTCACCTCTTAAAGGTAAGTGCACAAAATTTTTATTTTTGGTCTCCTTTGATCATTATTGTAGTCATTATGCAGTCAATATTATATAATAGGAATATTTATTAATTCTGACTGTTCTAAGAGCAAGCTTTTATTTGTTTTTCAATAGGCATTTCCCAGAGTATAAACAAATTTTCAAGTTCAAGTTTGATTTTGAATGCTACTTGAATTAATTATGAAACACTGATATTTGCTTTGATGCTCTATAGATTTTTGATGATACTATAAGGAGTAATCATAGGGGCAATTTATCCTTTTTTCTCCTCGATGCTACTTCACAATGATAATACTTGTTTTTAATACTCCTGCTCAGCATTTTGGTTGGTGATTTGCTATCTCGACTGCGCATTCATCTGATCTTGGTCCTCGATCATCAGTCATTACTGTAATGGTTACTGCATTTGGTTCAGACTGATCATTAGATAATAATCTTTTTGTGTGAGTTCATTTTGAGGGTTGTTATTAATATTTGAACCATATAATAATTATTTTTTATATTACAGTGACATTCAATATGTTTTAAAATAAATTTGAGGATGAAACAGCTCATACTTCACTTTGTCTCAAGAGTTAAATCGTAAATGAATCCTTTTTTAATGCATGAGTATGAATGTTTGGACAATAGGTGTTGGGGTAATGGTAATTGTTACTGCCAGTGTCTGGTTATTTTAGCAGTGATACCTGTGAAAACTCATCATTTGGAAAACATCTGATACTTAATCAACAAAATTTCTGATCTTTGTGCTCAAAGTGAGTCTGTTTAGTGTTGTTGGTTTGGTGATGGCAGTAGTGGATGTAATTGTCACACTTATATTAAAACTATTCCAATTACTAAGGTCTATGTGATTTATAATATGACAGATTGTCACCATTTATACGACTCAAACACTAGTTATTCTGAGTATTACAACTTAATTTCTTTTCTTTACTTTCAGACAAAAGATACTATCATGGGGATGAGTGCAATAGAAATGGTATACAGAGCTCGCTATATATAACGAGAATGTTATTTTTCCTTAATTTGCTAGAAAAAAAATTTGAAAATATATGACAATTTGCAGATACACATTTTATATATTATGATCAAGTTTACTTAATTAAGACTACTTTATAGATTAACTTATTGTAATTATGTATGTACTTTCAATTATCTGATCAAATCCTGATAAATGAAACTATATACATGTACGTAAATTGATTAATCTAAACATAAATGGTAATTTTTTTACATCATTATGAAAATTGATCGAAAACATAAATATATATACTTTGATATATTGCAAACAAGTTTTCTTAAGACAGCTTAGTAGCTTAAAATATTAAAAAAAGCCAAAATGAAAATTTTATAATTAAATTTATACAATTATATCAGAATTAAGATCAAATATTTGAGAATAATAGAAATAAGATATGTTACTAAGCACGTAGTCTTAAGAAAATCTGCTCACAATATATTAAAGTATATATCTGTAAATTTTTATATATTTTCAAGCAGTTTTTATAATGCAAAAATAAAAAAGGCATATTTTTCTCATTATATATAACGAGCACTGTAAATTGTATTAGAATTTACTATATAATTTACACTATTTCTATTGGGCTTGATGAATTATTTGTGTTATATTAGGTTCCGGACCATTCCATTTACCGGTCCCACTAAGTCAGTCCTCGTACTGAACTGGATCGACCAGATAGACCAATTAATATCTTAGTTGCGTGCATAGCACATATGATGTATTATCTAAGGTGATATCCTATATAGATGTGTTCCACACACAACTTCATTTCAAATTTACTGACATATTTTTAGGATAGTATTTACGTTGCAACTTCTCTCTTGATCATATGAGTTTTGGATTCAGTGGTCAATGGTCATTGAGAACGGATAACACTATCCGTTAAGCCAGGCTTTATTTATTCACGTAAGAGTTATATGACTCAAATATTTAAATCTTTAACATATACAGTCTCCGCTCGCCCGAATGCAATAGCTGATGTGATCATACAATGCTATTCGAGCTCGTAAAAGGCACAATACAAGCAGGCACGTCAGAGATGCATGTTGTCCTTACGAACCAGGACTGTTAGTCCGGATACCAAAAAAGATTAAGTTGAGTAATCAATCTCTCTGTATTACCTAACGTCCATTCGCAAAGTCTTTCAATTATTGACTGACATATCAGAGTCTCACGCGTTTGCTTTTGGCTTTCTGAACACATAAAGGCATACGAAGTTCTCACGTGTCATTCTATTATTATTTCTTCTTTTTTTTGAAAGGAATGCTTGACAAACAGTAACGTGCTATTTGTCACCATGGGAACCCAGAACTCGTTGCAAAGCTAGACACATTAGAAGATGTGCACCTACCGAATGCCAATACTATATTCTGCAGGAAGGGAGAGTGCGTGAAACTTTACACAATGAAAGTGATGTGACCAACCATTACCCACTTATATCATTATATTGTGTTATTGCTGGAGGTGTTCTACTCTCTTGTATAACGTTTTGACTATATTATTTTACATTCAAGCTTTACAGTACTTTTCTATTTTTTTTACGTGTTTCTTTACGTTGGTTTACATATTTTTACATGGGTTTCCAAACAATCTTTCTTTTTTTGGATGTTTTCATGTCACAAAAATAAATGAAAAAAATTTTCTGTACCAATGACAGTCATTTTACATGCTTTCAATAAATTTACGTGCTTTTTTCGTGTTTTAATATACATTTACATAACCGTATTAAATGATCTGCATAATAATAATCACAATATTGTAACGATTAAAATATCGATATAAATAAACTCTTTTTTATTCATAAAATTAACGTTGAACTATACATATATGAAGATATTAACATACTATATATTAAAAACTAATTCTAATTTAAAATATAAATTCTAATTTAAAATATAAATTCTAATTTTCACCAACACAATTTTTGATCCAACTTTTAGCACAAAGAATAGCTCTTGCTGTTTGCTTGTATACATAAATAGTCGCGAGCAATAGTACTTATTATTGGATATTCTTTTTTATGTGTTAACCACCAATTTAATGGAGCAACATTTTCATCAAGTGGTGAAGCCAAATAACATTCCAACTCAGATATTCTAGAATATAACTGAGATATTTGTTGAAGTGATTGTACGCGATTACGTTAAAATTTAGCAAAAAAATGATGAGTTGAAGATTGAGAAGAATTGTTGGTATTAGAAAGAAGTTTTGTTTGATAAATAGTGTATATATGCATTATCTGAGTAATTGCCTCATTGATTATATTATCTGAAAAGACTGATAATTTTGTTCTGGGATCTAAGATAGTTGAGATAAATGAGAATTCATTCATTATTGATCAATATTCTTCAATTTTTTGATGAATTGATGATGCAAATTCACTTTGAGTAAATTCATCTTGTCCAATTAAATTATTCAAATATACTTGAATTCCTTCAAATATAAAGTGAATATCTGCTAAAGTTGAATATGATGAAGCAGATAAATGCTTAGTAGCATGCTCAAAAGGTTCTAATATAATAATCATATCCTAAATAAAAATATTTATTAATAAAATAATTAAATAATATATTTTTAATAAAAATATTTATTATACTTACCTTAATTACTTTTAGTTCATTTTCATTTGGATAAATTTCTTGAATTGATTTATATTTCTTAACAAGAAGAAATAAAACTGATTCTAAAGTAATAAATTATTGCAACATATAATAAGTTGAGTTCCATCATGTTTTCATATTCAAAATTGGCTTGAAATAGGTAACTACATGAGTAATACAATATTGACATAAATTATCAGATTTTTTAACTGAATTTTTAATATTTTCCATTATACTTCGAATTTTTTTGACTGATTCATTTGTTAATTCTAAGTCTTGTTGAATACTAATGTTCATAATATAAGTTGCACAATGGTAGTGAGCAAAAGTCAACTGTGATAAATCATTTTCAATCTGTTTTGCAATTCTCGTCCACATATAATCATTACTGATGTATTATTAGTTGTTATTGCTAAGATTTTTCTAATAAATTGTGTTCTTGTAATGTATCTATAATTGTATTAGCTATATTGATGCCTGTATGACTAATTTTAAAAGATATAATATCTAAAAGAAAGTTGCAAAGCTTCCATGAAAAATCTATATAATATATTGTAATTCCTAGAAATGCTTCTCTGTTGATTGTTGAAGTCCATATATCAGCAGTTAATGCTATTTTTCCTGGAATACTTGCTAAATTAATGCTAATCTTAGCATGATGAGTATTAAATATCTCAATTGTCATATCTTTAACTTTATGTCTATTGGGAATTTTATGACGAGAACAAAAATAAGATAACATTGTGCGAAAATATGTGTTCTCAACAACCATAAATAGTTAAAGATCACAAATTATCCATGTAATTAAAAATTTATTATGTTCGATTTGTTCAGATAAATTAAAGGGATTAAATTGTTTTGTTGTTGAAATTGCTTTATTTTTTTTTTCGTTGGTACTTCAAGTTGATGTTTTCTAATATGACTTCAAAGTGTTGAAACATCAGTAGGTTTATATAGCTGGTGACATATTGTGCATTGTGTTCCCATAGGTGTTTTTACAAAATGCAGCCAGACAGTTGAACTATTTGCATTAAGAATACTTATATCAGATTCGATAATAGTTGACTTATTGATTCATCTGGTTCAATACTTTCTTGTCTTTCGAAACTAACAAACTCAAAATCTTCGTCCATTACGAAACAAATAAAAATAAGAATAATTAGCATTTTTAAATTTATTTGATCAATAAAACCGTCAAACTTAGAGATTATAGTACAAATAAAATATTCATTAGTCTAAATTTATCAAAAAATTATTTTTTATATAACGATAATCAAAATAATTAAATTGATCATTTTATGTCAAAGAATATATCACTATCACTAACTAAATACTGCATAAAACCGAGATGATCTCGGTTTGAACCGGTTTATTCGGTTTATGCGGTTTGATCGGTTTGAAACCGGTCTCAAAAACTGGTTTCGAACCGGATATAAACCGAACCGACACATCCCTACATGTAATTAACTGCTTTTATTTTACATGTACGTACTCAAATGGAAGATGCAGATACATGTATACGTACTCTGACAGGTAAAATAAATTTTGATACCAGATTTTGTACAATTATTTAAGGAAACAAGTACATGTACAAATTGACACAATAGCAAATTCTGTATGAATTCCAAACTTCTATGAAAAGCATAATTACTACGTACAAAGCTAAAATTAAGCAACAAGGAAAAATTGCTCTTTTTACCTGTTTCTGGAGCGGTCTTTATTAGCATTATAATTCATTTTCTTATATCTAATACATACAATATTCGCATGAAATATACTCACTTTTTCGCGCAGGTAAACAATGCTAACAGGTATAATAAAAATGCAAAATGGATATCGGTTACACTACGTATTGCATTTTTTATTTCGTGTGACAATGTGATTAAGTTCTGAAACATAATGAAACTTCAATAATGAATTTATTTTCCCAAGTTCGTATCCTAATCCGGCTATTATCTATTTAGATACTGCGATCAAGTAAATTTTCTAGAAGAGATTATGCAACAATTGTTGCAATTCTAGTGCAAAACTGCACTCACAATGACACGTTGCTCGAATTTTGACTGTTGTCGAGATCACATTTGGTAGTGCTCTGATTGAAAGGTCATCTGAGAATACAACAGCCTTCAATTTTGTTTGGTCGCATATAATTTACCGTTAAATAATTATGTACCTGCTTTCATAATGCATAATGCATAAGATCTCAGGCCTAATTATTGGCACGAGTGTTGATGTTCCGACGAGATTTTTCCTCGTTTGGTGCAATATGTTTTAATTTCAATTGTATTACTACATTTGGTTAATCCGGAATACGTTTCTATATTTTTACTAAAAGACATAGGGATAGTAATACGTTTTTTGAAAAAGGTTGTATTTTGTATCTTTAGACTGAATTGCAGGTTGATACATTTCTGTCGTAGGGAATGCATACCGATACCAAATTACAAGAAAATAAGAGTCGAAAGATGATACTATCTCGTTTCACGTCTAGCTTTAACAAGTCAGTTATTCCAAGGCAAGCATATTAATGTTTTGGTACCAAAAATATTATATATATATATAAGATTTTTGGAATGCTTGCATTAATGTCAATGTCTTGGATTATTTGCATTACTAGTAGAAGTTCAATAATGTTATTATTGTTGTGACATTGATTTTTCATTACTCATTAACAGAAAGCAATTTGGAAAAATAATTATTACACTTTGAATGATTTCCCCAGCATTTTATTTGTATGAATGATTCTTTTATGTTAGATCATAAAAAATGTCTTTATTGTCGAAATAAAGTTCCACTCAGAACATCTTTACTCATCAATAGATTGTATTTTATAAACTTAACAGAAAATCCCAAATTTAATCTGTGAAAATGATAGAATAAACCTTCCTTGGATTTATTTATTGATTAAATTTGGTATTTATTCCTTAGTTAAGAAGTTTATTGAATTTATAAAATACAATCTATTGGTGAGTTTAGATGTTATGCACCATATCGATATACGTACGTAAGGTTTAATTTAATGTACAGATCCAAGGGGAAAACTTAATGTGAAATTTGTAAAGAAAATGTGGGGTATTGGATAATCGAACCAGTTTAGTTTAAGTTCCGAGCCAGAAGTTCCAGAATCTAAAACCATTATTTTGTATAACTCATTCTTTAGAACTGAAAATGTAGTGTTTATTTATGATACGTGTATAAAGATGTGGTGGGGGATAATTAGTAAAGTATAGAATTTATTGTGAAAATCGTTATAATTTATTAGAAGTGTTCTCGTTATATTGAGGTTTTAATTTGTCATCATTATAACAAAGCATTGGCATATTGAGGTTTTCTGTACATATAAATATAACGATAAATCCGATTTTTTTTTTAGTAATACAATATTCACGTACTCATATCAATATTTTCTTATGACCATGTACAAATTTTGTAATGCGATAACGACAATAGTTCAGTTGGGTACTGACAATTCAGGAGCCAACTCCTGGATTTTATTTAAAACTGATTATAAACTAGTTTATTGTAACTGTTTCTATCATTGGCTCAAACCAATAACTATCAGTTCTAATCCAAACTATTGAACTGGTTATGAACTGACTTGTTTTAATATTTAACATCCCTATAAAAGTGGACATGTTATGTTTTTAAGAAATTTGTGTTCTTCATGGAAATTGTTAAATTCCAACGTCTCTATCAAAATCCGAAACGTTCGCCTAGTGTTTCGCTCCGAAATTTAATTTGGAAACAATTTGTAGATCAAATTAGTTTCGCCAAAACACTAACGCTAAATGTAAAGAAAACTCGCGCCATTATTATTCTCCATGTATTATAAATCATACATGTTAGTATAGCGATAGTGTCAATAATTTAGCGTTTCTCTTCGTTTTCCCTTCCTCACATCATTAAGTATTATCATTGAATTAGCTTATTTTGAATTTTTTATAAAAGGTAAGTGTCTAGTTATTTATGTGTGTATTACTAAACTAATATATAGAGATATAACGATAACAATAACGATAATGTTCATGTATTCTATAAATAAAGAAGATTATAAAAATGCTATTCAATAATAAAGTTTTACAACAAGAATTTCTAATATCTTAATCCTTCTAACCTTTGCGTATTAGAAGAGATTAAATTTTGTACACGTAACAACTGTTGATGCAATTCTACAGGCATTACATTACTCACAATTATAGGCTGTTCTATTTCAAAATCCTTAGCACCACTCAACAAAATGCTAACTTTGATTTTATGTTCTACTTTGATCAAAGGTCCGTACATTGTTGAAATAATGTCCCCTGGTGCTCTTATCAAAAGATTGCCAGAAAATTCATTGCCCTTGATTTTTGCTTTTGTCGCGTATAATTTACCCGTGAATGTCCGTGC